ATACATATATGTTACAATGTTTGTTATATGTACTTTAATAAATATTTTCAAGTATTTTGAGTCATTCTCTGTTTCCATTTCTTATGTAACCACTATTAAGAAAGTGCAATTGCTAAAACCAAATACCATCAGTTGCCAATGAGTTATCTTATTTAGACTTTTTGTATATTAAGTAAACTTACACTGTAGTACAACCTGATTTAAACTCAGTCAACTATAGTAAAACAGATGTATGCACATTTCAACAAGGAAATCCAAAGTGCTTTCCAAACAACATTCAATCAGAGTGCAAAAGAAACACTTTCTAAAAGCACATTTTAACACACAAAATACATTAAAAAGCCAAGAAAATACTATTAAAAACAACACGTTAAAATGAGAAAAAAATACAGATCCTAATGGGTTTTACAGCAGCTGGTTGTGCACGGGGTACATGGGAGTTTTTCAATCGTAAGGTCAGCGGTTTGACCCTAAATCCCTGCAGCCAATAGGGAGCCAGAGTGGATGATAAAAGCAGGAGTTAAATACCATGTCATGTGAGAGCAGAGGTGTAAAGTAACTAAGTAGATTCACTCAAGTACTGTTCTTAAGTACAATGTTGAGGTATTTGTACTTTACTTGAGTATTTTCCTTTTCTGCTACTTTGTACTACTACTCCACTATATTTATGTATAACTTTAGTTACTTTACAGATCTGGATTAATGATGTGAAATATAATCAAGTGTTAAATCAGACTTTAGTTCCACCTGGAGTAAATTCACAAGCTACCCTGCAGTACACAAAGTCATTCAAACGAGCTGCACTTTACTAGCTTTGATAACACTAATGCATCAATAATTATAATCAAAACATATCCTATATATTATCTGCAGAATGACTACTTTTACTTTTGTTACTTTAAGTATATTTTGATGGTAATTATTTTTCTACTTTTACCTGAGTAACATTTTGATTGCAGGACTTTTACTTGTAACAGAGTATTCCCACACTCTGGTACTTCTACTTTTACTTAAGTACAATATGACTACTTCCCCCACCTCTGTGTAAGAGAGACATTGTCAGGATTAAGCACAGGAAGTGAGGAGACAGTAGGCGGTGATGTGTAGCTTTAGTGGCTCTCCATCTTGAGTGTTATTGTTAAGATAAGCTGACGTCTGACCCATGAACACTCAATATTTATGCTGCGTCTACTGCATGCTAGCTGAGCTGGTGACGTACTTTCAGTAATGTCACGATGTCATGAGTGAACACAGCCACAAACACCAGCGTGCTGCTGAGAGGAGAGCCCTCTGCACACCTCCCTCCTGCAGCTAACAGGCCTTCTCTCCTAATCCACTCGGAGACAAGTGATGCATGATGACTTCTCGGAGAGCGAGTGAGCGGCTTCTTGCAGACGGTGCTGAATCGGGGTTTAGTTTAGATTCTGTTTGGGTTGCATTAGGCTTGACTAAGAATAGACTCTGATTAAGTAAATCTGTGAGAGACGTTATCTCCAGACGTATTATGGTTTAAGTGTTGGACTGTGATGCTTGTGTCGTGAGGAGAATCCCAGAGGTACACAAACTGGAGGGATCATGAAGTGTGAGGCAGACACAGGTTTGACTTATTCCCAGCAAATCCCTCAAAAAGGATTTAACAACGTAACACTTTCTGACTTCCTTACACCCTGTCTGTGGCACTTAGACTCGGGCCCATTGGTTCCAACAAGGGACGTTCTGTAAGTCCTCAAAAACAAGAAATACAAACAGTACGGCAAGTTTTTTGTTTTTGAGTATCAGTCAAAAAGGAGTCTGCATTTGACAATGGGCCCCTGGACACAAACATGCAAAATGTCCTGCCTACAGTACATAGTGGCAAGACACAAATACATTTGAGTTGTTAAGCATCTTATTGTGGTCATTTTGTCGTTTGTATGTGTCTCTTTGTCATTATGAGTGTCTTTGTAGCTGATTTGATCTCATTTTAGACTTTTAGTATTTTGTATTCCTTGGGTCATTTTGAGTATCTCCCTGGTTGGTACGAGTCTGTAAGGAATACAGAAGAATATTAAATATGAGGATATGTAGGATGAGGATATCTGGGCTTTTGGGTGACAATACAAAAATACAAAATATTGTCAGCAATTATTTCAACGATCATGCATAAAAGAGGCAAGTAAAGCAAAACATAATGATAACCCCTGACGTGCTGCTGCATCTGACACACTTCTATAAACAACAGCTACTTCCTGTCTCCCAACCAATGAAGAGGATGGATAAACACCAGCTGGTGGCACATAGCTCTCCTCACCTCTCCTCTCATCTCTCACACAAACACACACGTTAGTCATTGTTTGTCTTTTGCCTGTAAAGCTGTCATACTTAGAGTAACCACTTCCACTGCAGAATTACTGCCTGTTTTCACGTGTGGCGACGCAACTCTGGAAGCATTTGCGTCACTGTATTTCTGCTAAAGGAGTGTTGGACAGTTTGGAAATAGACAGAGAGGAGAAAAACATATTTGTCATCTTTTGGGGTGACAGATTGATCCGCTTCATGCGTCCACTTCCCGCCTTCTTTCTCCAGCAACCTAGTTTTTGGGCAGAGCAGTTTAGAGAGTGTGTTAAAGCATCACTGTAATGAACCACATGTATGAGGATATTTCCCTCCTAATTACTTTCACTGTCTGATTCGGAAAACATGACAGATGCTTAGTGTCCTAAAGCATGAAGTATATATTATGCTTGATTATATACCCAATTTCTTCAAAATGAAAAGTGAGGAGTGTCACTGACTGTAGACTTTTGCCTCAAAATGAAAGCCTGTTGCAAGGACAATAAGGCTTTTCACCTTTTTTTCTTAAGCTTTGGAACGGAATTACACAATGGTTAATTAACCAATCAGTTAAAGAACAAAATCTGCAGGAAATCAGTGTAGAGGAGGTCATGTTACTCTGTGACGTGCATGGTGTGTTGGCTTAGCCAGAGCTAACAACCTGACAGATGACATGAGTGCATAAAAGGGTAACCGTGTGTTAAAAAGAACATGGAACAAACTGTACGAGCCGTCAAAGCATCAGGATGGAGGGAGACTGAAAATACGTAATCTTGTTAAAGTGCCTATGTTTTTTTCCTTCTTTGCAGGTGGGATGCCAAGAGGTTTGAAAGGCAACATCAGTGCTTTAAGTGCACTTTAAGTGTAATGGCAGTGTGTTAGCCGGAGTCTGAGCAGACAGGAGGAGACAGAGCCGAGCGCAAACATCTTCTTCGGATCAACAGCTGTAAATAACCTAAATATATATATAGGAAGTGCTCTGTCATGGTCTGCAAGAATGAACAGATATTTGGATATTTCGTGCTTAAAGTTTGTGAAATGAAAAGCATTTACTTTTTAATGGTTTGATGTGCCATTGTTTTATTCTTTAAATGAAAGCACCTTCATGCTTCCTTTAGAAACTAGGACAATCAACGTCATTTGTTGCTGATTTCTGCTTTAAATCGCTTTCTTTTTGTTTGTTTGTATTTATATTTGTGTTCACTGCTTAAAGGAATCCCACCAAACATGAGTTGTGTGTGATCAGTAAACAAAAGAGACACCAAAACATGTTTTAATATTGACACATACAACAGGTCATACAAGGACATAAATAGGAATCGGAAATACCCGACTTTGTTTAAGATTAAAACAGTAAGTGTTTCTAATTGTTTTTATGATGAGTCACAGACTGCTCTGATAAGCTGGACTTTAAGATAGAGACATCTGATGCAATAAGAAAGGTCCTCGGGCAGTACAAAACATGTATACTTTGCTTGCTTTTATGTGAAATGGATATTCTGTTTTTGCAACTCAAATTAAAATTAAAATTGACAATGATATCTAGTTTGCCCCCACTCCCATTATTTTGGTTTCTGGATAATAAAATCTAGCTATTATATTGTCTTTTTATTCTCTGTCTCCATCAACATATGTTTCTTTTTATGTTATTTGACATTGAATTAAGTGCACCAGGTTTTTACAATTTGGGAATCACTAAATAAGGGTCACATCATTAGAAAATGTCCTAAGAACAAGTAGAAAATGTCCCCAAAACAAACCAGTTCTCTGCCTTGTTTGTATTACAAACACGAGCCAGGAGACCAGGCTGTTGGGTCAGATCAGAAAAATGTTTTCAAGATGGCACTCAATGAAGAATGTTCCACTTCTGTGACGTATAGAAGACTGTATTTACATCTTGGCACGGCTATTCTAGTAAATACGCACTCATATGCAGGTCAGTATGATACAAAATGTGGTACCATATTGGCTTTGGAAAGAGTCCTCTCTGCCCAACTGAGAGCATCTGCTGAGTGATTCAGCATGGAGAACATTATGGTGTGTTCTTTGGTGTGTTTGTACTGTTTCTGTCCCAGAATTCACAATAACACATTTACCCTAATTACAATTTGATGAATCTGTTGACATTTATAGCATTGGATGTATCATGAAAATGTGCCTGGTTGTTTCAATTAAGGTATGCAATTCACTTCAAGCTGAATCGTTTTAACCTTCTTAAGAATAACACGAAGAATAAAAGTCAAGAGACAACTTTGCTGCAACAAATGAAAACAAAAGTTATGCTCTATACAATTGCTGGCCATTTTAGGACATGTCAGACTTGGCTTGTCAGGCGCAGCTTTACATTGTCAGACTTTTTTAAAGTATACTTTTTTATTTGAACTTCTATGTCTCTGTTGTCATGTAGCAATGTAAAAGATTCCCATTTATTTCCAAGTGTTTAAATGTTCTGACAACTCAACATGGCCACTATTACTGAGTGTACTGTCATTTATGAGTAAATACTTATCTACTTTAGAGATTTATGTTAACGTATTGGACTTCGGCAAGGTCATCAGGAATCATCCTCTGAGGAGCAGGAAGGGCACTACATTTTATGACAAAACATCTCAAAGTTGAAAAGACATCAATTTGGAACTCAGCAGTCACTGTTCATTAACAAAGTGAACAGATTAAACGAACACCTATTTGTGGTGGAAATGTTCTTTAATGTCTGTTTTACTTCCCATTCACTGTGACAATTTCTCATAATAGTTATGTTACACACTTTGACAATGATTATTTATGCGTGTGTATGTATGCATATTAATGCACACACTGTTTGTGCATTCATATGATCATATCCTATCGCAGCATTCTCCTCAAAGCATCCCTGACCTACATCCTGGTATCATGACTGAGGGGGTGTCTGGTGTGGAAGGACCTATGGGAAGGACACAGAAAGCAGAGTCAGGAACATCAGCTTCTGTTATCTTTCACTCTATTTCAAAGCTTTTCTCAGCTCTTCATCTCCCCCTGGTGCTGTAAAAGAAGTGGATATGGATGCAAAACAGAAGGTGACCCACATACCTCCTCTGCCGGTGTTCTATTTCCTAAAATCGTTATTTTTCTAGTTTGCCCTGAAGATGATACACTTATACTGTCCATGTGTTTGGACAAAATGACCAAACACAAAGACCTGACAGTCAGTGTATAGCTTACTTTCACATGATTTTTCAAGGATTTTGGATCATGGTTAATTATGATGCATACATTGTCATTATAAATTCTGAAAGGTTAATGCACAATCTAATTTATAATAATGTGTACTTTGTGTAATTAAAGTGGTAAACTAATTACAGATTGAGGACACAATTCAATGTGATTTTTCTGGTTAAACTCAGAGCATCATAATTTGCTTAAAACATGAGCAAACATTGAAAACCCAGACCTCCAGATCAAAGCCAAACACTGAGTGAGAGTTTTTCCATTTTAGGCAGTGAGACAGAGGGGCTGAGGATGCCAAATAATTTGTATCACTGCTTTACTTGGCAAACTAGAGCATGTGATTATTCATATTTAAACCAACATTATACAAAAAGTCCAAAGAGTCCTTTACCCATTTTTATTTGGTCTCTTTCCTATTAATATCCCGGGGCAGGAAGAGTTGATCAAACGTTTATATTTGCACAATTTCTGAGGTCTTTATTCTTTCTTACATTGTACTGCAACTGCTGCAAAACAAATTCCCTTGGCATAAATACAATGATGTGTTATTTTATTGACCTCTGACATAGTAGCCTATGTCTCAGCCTAATATTAGTCTACCTTGATTTGTCCATTCTTATTATAGCTGGTAAGCTTTGTCAAATCTGTAGTGTTATTTTGGAAAATGTCTTTGCACCTCTCTTTGCTGTTATGGTGTCTGGATCTATTTCATGCAGTAGGCTACATGCTCTGAATACAGCAGTATTACACAATGCTGTACAGATTACGTTAACTTTATAGATATAGTTCACTTTCTAACTCAGAGAAGGGCAGAAGTCTTTATTTGATCCTAAAGTTACCTGTCACATCTTGAAAAAACGGCTACATAACGATTTTCCAACGAGTAAAGCTTTTAAAATTTAAATGCAAGTTGTGGCGTCAGTTCATTTGCCATACAGTCTAAGGTTTGATTGACAGTGCCGTCCCCCAATAAAAAGGTTAACAGGAGACTTGTAGCGAATCAACGGCTAGTTTACGCCTTGTTTCGACCAATAAGCTTGATGTCATAACGGAATGTAACCAATCACAGCGAAGGGATAGGCTCCCGTTCTTGGAGCGCGAACGGTTAAGGACAGAGACGGCCACGAGAAAATGGCGAATATGGAGGAGTTTTTGTACGGGCATAGCGTCATATTTTAAACTTTATGCCATTTTAATAGCTTTTTATACTCGGTGGTGTTTATTTTATGCATTTCTGGCTAGGTTTTTTTATTAAACGGCGAGCGCTACTCGTGTGTCACACTAACGGAAGATCATTTAAAATATGTTGTTGTTACTCTAGCTAGCTACATTAGCTTAATAGCAGGAAACATGAAGTGCCTTCGTTAGCAAATAAATGACCGCAGAAATGACAAATACATTTATATTATTAATGGTTGAGTAAAAGGACTCTGTCACACTTCATCTGAAGTCATGGCTTTACACAATTTGGTGTTCGTCATCGATGTGGATTATAGAGATCACGAGTCAGGAGAGCAACTGGATGTCAACAATCATCTGTTGAAACGAGGAATATTACAAACCCTGCTGCATTTCGGCTACAAATATGGATTTGACAAAGTGCGCTGGGGTTATAAATTCTTCCAATCCAAGACTGGCCGAAATGCAAGCCTCATATCAAGGGGGTCAGACTTCAAGGAGCTTCGTCACAAGACTTTTGAGGACTTTGAAATAGAGTTTGAAGCTAAGGTTGACGTGAAGGATAAATCGTGTCCGTCAAAGCAGAAGCAGAAATTCAATCATTCTGCCTGTGTTCACAATGCACTCAAAGAAACCCTGCTGGACTTCCAGTGGGACAGACCAGACATCACCTCTCCCACCAAACTGTCTCTCAGGCCGAGGAACTCTGTCCAAGCTGGAAAGCCCAGTGTTTCATTGGAGGATGAGACTTCCAGCAAGGGGAGGAATTTGGTGTTTGTTGTCTCGGAGTGTCCACGCTCCAGGTCACAATTTGTGGACTATCTTTCTTTGGGAAACAGTGACCTGCCCACAGATGTGACAGATCAAATATTACCCAGAGGCCTTCACGACATGCTGCTTCAGCGACAGGTTGTGCTGCACTGGATTGACAGTAGATCACATGTCCAGGTGAGTACTGTTACTGTACTGTACTGAAAAGTTTAAAATATAACCATTGAGTCATAAAAAACAATGTGACAAACTTTGACAAAATCACATTACATGTATACTAGTAAGTATGTATAAATAATATGGATATAAATGGTGTTTATTTGGACTTTCCCTGAATTTCTCACGTTCTTGTTTGATATGATTTAGCTCAGCAAACCCACTTAAAGGGTACTAAAAAAAGTTTACTTCTTATGTTGCATAAAAAGGATTCGGCATCTTGTGGGTTAAACAGAAATAGCCAGATCATACCATAAATCTACACCAACCTCAAACACTGCAGCTACTTACCAAAGTGGCTGTTAAAAGGATGTCACTTTTTCCACAGATTCAAGCACCTTTGATCTTTTGTCTCCCTCCAGGTCATGAAGTGTGAGGATCATGTTGGCACTGAGAAGCTGTCTGAGGTCCTCGCTCAGCTGGGTGGCAGAGTGATCCCTGTGATTGCTCTGCTGAACCTCTGTTCCACTCAAAAGCCAGACTCAGGCTTCAGCAGACAGACCTTTGCATTCAAGTCCAACGTTGGATACCTCCTGTCTTCTGAAAGGCTCCACCGCCTGGCTTTTCCTGTCACAGGTGGTGTTCTGCAGTGGGAGCAAGGTTAGTAGTTACATGGAAGTAGACATCTACATGACTCAGCCAAGCCCAAAATAGTGGAGATATTAAAGTGATCAGTGTTGTGTGTGTATTTCAAATTCAGATCCAAAATATGTTATACATCGTACTGTATATGCTCTATGTCTTTGGATTTCACTTTGTTTCTTTGCAAATATGTATTTGCCTAATATAAGACAGACCCCGTGTACAACTACAAACCAAAAAAACATTTGGATAAACGTAAAAAACAGACCCAAGAGGCTTCATAACAATGTCTTGTATCTTCTCCGTGTTGAGATTTATATGCTACGAATGTATTTGTTACACAACAGCAGAAATGATATGAAATGTATAAGTGTCAGGCAAGGGAAATTGAGTCCTTTGAACCTTAAGTTGGCAAAGTAATGCAATTTTTAATGTGTTTTTCCTTACTCATCCAGGTGACATGACACAGATCTGTGGCGTCACGGTAGAGCCAGTGTCTCGCAGACGCAGGCTTCTCCCAGAGTCGCTGGAAGTGTGTCTGAAAGCAGTGCTGCAGGGCTGGGATGCCTCCTCTCTGACGCAGAGCTCCACAGAGTCGTGGCTGCTTCAGTGCTCCAGCGGCAGTGAGGAGCGAGGAGCTGCTGCTGCCCTCCAGCACCTCCTGATGGAGCTGTCTGCTCGTGCTCTGCACATGGTGAGATCACAGGGCTGTTGCACACAAGTGTGATCTCTATACACAGATCGATGCATATGAATAATAGATCTTTCTTTAACATACTAAATATACATCATTGGCTCTATGGATCACTAGTCCTTTGTTTTGCTTTAGACAAATTACAGAAAATATTTGTTACAGTATGGTAATAGTAATTTCACGGCCTTATCAATACAGGACTGAAACAATCAATAAATAACATCCTGTTTGATACAAGGACAAGTCGAAGTACAAATTGTATTGAATCTTTGTTTGATTTCAACACATCATCTCACAATAACTATGATTTAAAGGGTGTAGAGATACCGGGGTTGGGAGCAGGTTGTGCACAAATCTTGTTATGAAACTTTCATCTGTGGGCATTTACTAATTCTCTTTTTTCCTCTTCTTGCATATATTGCTTGTTCTTCCAGCTGTCTGAGGTGAAAGACAACGGCCTGGTGTATTCGGCTGTCCTCTCCCCCCTGTCACACACTACAGCTCTGCTCACCATCCTCCAGTCTGGAGTCGCCCAGAACGAACAGATCCTAACCAGCGAAATCCTTGCCCCTGCCACATCAGAAACATCGGCTGATTTGCCTGATGTTGTGAGCAGTGTCCTGGGAGTAGTGTATGACATCATGGAGGAGGATGGAGGAGACACTGTTGAGGGTAAGGACTAGGGATGGGTACCGAGCCCCGGGGCTGAATTATTAAAGACCGTGGTACCGTTAAGCTCCGACGTTAGCGGTCTTTTTATCGGTACTGGAGACATGTAAAAAACATGTCATGTGTATTATTGCTACACAAACATTATATTGCAGTTTTAGTTTCGCCAACTCCGTTTCTAATACGCAAAAAGACTGCAAAATGCGTCTATGATTATTTTTTGTATTTTCGATCTTTCCAATCCAGAGGAGAGATCTCTCCTGTCTGTGTTCGAGGGGGCGGGGCAGTTTACACACACGCAGCTGCTATATGCAGCAACACACACACTGCGGAGAGAACGCGCTCCGAGGTGGTTAAACTTTACCCGTCTCGATGTCGACAATGCTCGTCACCAAAAGTGCAATAAGAGTTTATCATGTAAGGGCGGTAACACGAGCAATTTGTCTAAACATTTAGCAAAAGTGCTCCACATTCAGACGGAGAAATGCACCGACTGTCTTTCTAGTAGCTCTGTAGCCCTGTAGCCCCGTCCACGAGTAACGTTTGAGGTAACGGAGTTATTTAGTTTGTTAAAGTTTCAGCTGTTCTGTTTACAGTTCTGTCATCACATTATTTAATACGATTTGTTAAAACACTGTTGTTTCTTTTGATGTGAAATATGATTTATTTAAAAAGCAACGTTAATTTTGTTCACAATTCGTTTAATTTTTTTCTCTCCAAAAGAACCGATAAGAGTACCGATAAAAGACCGGATCGATAAGCAGTATCGATAAAATTAGTAGTACCGTTAAAACCTTAAAGATACCCATCCCTAGTAAGGATGGGACATTTAGGTTGCAAAACATCAAATGTGAATCCTAGAGAAACTCTACCTGTATTTGTCATTACCAACATATTTTAGATTGATTTTTGAATTGTTAAGAGCACACAGTACACTGGTTACATTGTTGTATACTCTAAGAGGAAGGTACATTCATTTTCGCTTTTCATATGTAATGGAAGAAATACGTTTTATATTGGGCTGTTTGAGTCCAGGTGTGCTGTGACCAGAACCCCCTGGAAGAAGAGATATCGTCTCTCAATAAGACGTTTCTAGCTTAACAAAGGAAACATAAATATGATTGTATTTTCCTTGATGTTAAAGGTGGGGTAGGTAATTCACTTCAGAAACACTTTGTTATATTCCATGGAATGCTCTTAACATCCCGATAGCAATGAATACATTAAATGCTTTGACAATAAAAAAAATTCATCCTGTGGAAGCCGTGGCGCTGTAAAAAGCACGACCAATCATCTGAGCCGGCTAAAGTAACTGGATGGCCTACCTGCCTGTCAGCCTTCCATCGGGGCACAAACTGATCTCGTGTCCTCATTGGTCATGTGCGTGTTCGTGTGTGTTGGAGGAGGGGCTCTGTAAGGAAGTCTGAAGGAAGGGGCAGATTTTTTCGGCTGCGTACTTTCAAATTCTAGCGCACTCGAGCTGGTTTCTCCATTCTTACCTACCCTCCCTTTAAGTTCCTATCACTTTATATTACTAATTGAAATTCAAATATTAGAGGTAGGGAAGTTTTAAAGTTGTTAAATGGTAGCAGGATAGTTATATTTCTAGGTAATGGTGTATTGCTAGTTGTTAATGGCTGTTTTTTGTTTTCATTCGTTCTTCAGACCAACCCATAGGTCATCAGGTACCGGAGTGGGCTCAGCAGGAAGTCAGCCGTCGCCCGCTGACAACAGGCGTGTTGGAGTGTTGGTTCCCTCAGTCAGACCAGTCAGGAGTGAGTTCTCATTTAATGGAGTCGATGAGGTAAGATTTCATTTTAATTGTAGAGTTTGTATATGGTGTTTTTGAAGGAATAATTCTATGAAACACATTCAATCATGTTGCAAAGAAAGTCCTGATGTTTGAGCGTCTTTGTTGCAGGTTGCTGGATGCAGTGCCAGAGTCAAAAGAAGAGGGGGAGCTGTCTGTCGTACAGCAGGAGCTGATTGGTGGGCTGGCTGAACTGTATCAAACATCCAAAGGGGCAGATGCCAAGAGGGGCAAGAAGAAACGTGAGAAAGCCTCAACTCAGTTTTAATCAAGATTGGGATATTTGTAGAAGCATAATGCTGCGTTCACACCGGACGCAATGTCAATATTCGCTTCGCTCTAATCGCTCGAGTTTCACCGCGGCTGCCAGCTGTGTTTACTCGCATCATTTAAACAAGACGCGCTGTCTTGGGGATACAACTACAACAAAATGAACATATTTGACCGTGTTTAATTGTGATACACGTTTCTAAATGATGCCGAAGTACCATGAATTAATGCTTTGACAAGTCTGCAGACAGGCGGCAGGCGAAACACCTTTTTAAAATGCTTGTTTTCTGAATGAAGATCGCATCGATCAGGCTAAGCTAACATTGTATCTGCTCCGTCCACACTCACAACAACGGCCTACAGACATACATAAACCAGCGACTGTATTCCCCATGACACAGGCAGTCTGTGGTTTGTACTTGTTTAACTTTTGTCCAGTTTCTGAACAGATATGAGGAGCTGTGAGCTCTGAGTGCTAACAGCTAAGGGCTGCTGTTTTGATTTTGTGGTTCTACGTCAGTGACGGCAGGCTGATATCCTCACCGCTGATTGGCTACGGCAAGATCGCGTCACGTGAATTTGACGCTCGAGTTTTTCAACTCGAGCGGTTGTCGCGGCCCCCACCAATCGCCTCAATCGCGCTGCGGCATTCGCATCAACCGCTTCATGCTCGTCGTCGGAGCGAATTCGCGTCTGTCCGCGTTTCTGCATTGACTTTACATGTAATCGCGCCGCCCCCAAACATCGCATCGCGTCCGGTGTGAACGCACCATAAGAGATACATTTCAGTCATAGGAGTCACCAAGTATCCATTTTAACACAAGTAATGTTTTAAATGTGAGAAAATAGAAGAATTCTAGTACTTTGCTATTTAGATCTTGACCTGAGGGAACGCAGCACAACATGCTTTTCTCACAATGTCCCTTCTTCGATCTACAGGTGGCGCCCAGCGTACACCGGTGAAGCAGAAGATGAAGACCATGAGCCGCTCCCTGCAGATGCTGAATGTGGCGCGGCTGAATGTCAAAGCCCAAAAGGATCAGGCAGAGGAGGAGCAGCTGGGGGCCAAGGGCCGGGGGGCCGACAGGCAGAAGACAAGGACCAGTAACAGGAACAAATCTAGAGGAGTGAGCCCCATCAGTAAGTGTTAACGTTTATTTGTTTTTGAAATATTTGTATTGAGAAGAAGCATACAAAGTGTAAGCAATAGTACAGACTTCTTTGTGGAAATCATGCTTCCCTTTTTCAACATAGAAGACCAACAGAACAGCCAACAAGAAGTAATAAAGAAAAGCATGACAGGAATACCATACTTAATGACATACATAATCATAGTGGGAAAGAACATACACAATAGTATATATAATACAAATAAATAAATACACTTAAAGGGTGCAGATGAGCCCAGACTACCCCCCCAACCCTTCCCTCCCCGAGCAGTGCCACCCAAGCCATTACAAAACTAATGTTTGTGCAATGCATCTCAGCCGACCGCCCCCCTTATAAACGAAACCATTGGACCCCACATCCTTTCAAATTCCCCCAGTCTATCTTAGTAAGTGTTAAACTTGACAGTAATCCTGCTCAAATATCACCTTGATGTCGGGAAGAAGCAGATCTCCTTGTGTTCTAAAATTAAGTAATGTATCTTCGTCCTTTTGTTAAGCTTTCACTAGTGAGGAGGAGCTGCTGTCCCATCTGAAGAGCAGCTGCGAGAAGGCTTTGGCAGAGAGAGACTCGTCCCTCCTCACCGGTGTCCAGCAGCTCCTGTTTGCTGTGAAGACCTTCTTTGGGACCGGATCTGACCTGGAGGTAAGACACGTGGCTTTACATGACCCTCCAGCTTCTCACCTGACCCACTTTCATCTCAACAGCTGGTTATTATTTGTCGGTAGCAGAGTTCCCGTTAGCCGGTAATTACCGGACTGTGGCCGGTAAAATATGCTGAAGACCGGCAAATCTAAATCTCTCCGGTCAAAATAATTTCCCCTTAGCAGTGTGTGACAGACGAGAAGAGTGTGTGACAGACAAGAAGAGTGTGTGACAGACGAGAAGAGTGTGTGACAGACAAGAAGAGTGTGTGACAGACGAGAAGAGTGTGTGACAGACGAGAAGAGTGTGTGACAGACGAGAAGAGTGTGTGACAGACGAGAAGAGTGTGTGACAGACGAGAAGAGTGTGTGACAGACGAGAAGAGTGTGTGACAGACGAGAAGAGTGTGTGACAGACGAGAAGAGTGTGTGACAGACGAGAAGAGTGTGTGACAGACGAGAAGAGTGTGTGACAGACGAGAAGAGTGTGTGACAGACGAGAAGAGTGTGTGACAGACGAGAAGAGTGTGTGACAGACGAGAAGAGTGTGTGACAGACGAGAAGAGTGTGTGACAGACAAGGAGAGTGTGTGACAGAGATGTCCTGTGTGACAGAGATGTCCTGTGTGACAGAGATGTCCTGTGTGACAGAGATGTCCTGTGTGACAGAGATGTCCTGTGTGACAGAGATGTCCTGTGTGACAGAGATGTCCTGTGTGACAGAGATGTCCTGTGTGACAGAGATGTCCTGTGTGCAGTGCATGACATTAAGGATTTTGGGAGATGGCCCTGTGGGCCATCTAAGCTAATTTACAGATGGCCCTGAGCCCAATAGAGATTGCCCTGAAAAATGCGCGCGGACGAAATGGCACGAAGGGTTTGGGGGGCCTCCCCCTAGAACATTTAGATTTTTGCAGGTCTTAGATGCTGTCTGGTTCTCTAGACTGAATTATAAGATGAACCACCACAATATTGTATTGTACAATTTCAATTTTATTCTTCATTTCACTTGTTTGTTTGTTCTTGTTTGTGTTTGCTCGCTTGCATGCCCTGCATAGCTATAAGAAACACTTAAGTTGTTGGTCAAGACACTTTCCATCTGATGAAGGCAAATGCCTTCCCAGATGTAAAAAAGTAGAAAACATTACATTCAGTTATTAATGCCAAAACAAACATTATTTACACTAGTATGGCCCCTGTTAAAAATGTTTGTAATGTTATCTACTGTAAGTTGGTCGAACGAATGCCTCCTCATCCGGAAGCTGACCGAGCAGACCCGAGCAGCAGTCGAGAGGAGCCGAGCGCATCCGCCAAGCACACAAAATGGCGACGTCATAGTTCCCATTAGCCGGCAAATCTAAATGTCCGGTCAAAATAATTTCCCTTTAGCGCAATACCGCTTCAGTTGCGCCATTTATGTGACAGACAAGAAGAGTATGTGACAGACGAGAATAGTCAATTATAATGTCTAACACGTAATGTGGAGAAAGAGATGTCCTGTGTGGGTTGATTGTGCGTTGATCTGTTGGTAATGCCTCGGGGTTCCGGTGGGCATGTAAACAAATACATAATGCTGCGCTATACTTTGTGGCCTCACCCAGTTGCATAGCGACACTTATTGTGTAGGTGTCTTTTAATAAACAGGTAGTCATATCATTAGCTAGAACTAGCTGGATCTGATCGATATGGACATAAACGCGAGTGAAGTCTAATCTGACGGGAGAGAGAGATCAGCTGAGCAGGCTGACGAGTGGACACGCAGCTCTGCATGATCACATGCAGCGGTGAGCGGACAAAACACACACTTCAGGTTAGAATATCACACGTAGCTATTTTAATTACCTCTCAAACTACCTAAACTAGTTATAGATATGTTTAGTTTCACTGTCGGGTCACTCATTACTGGATCCGCAAGCTGCATACTGGCACAATAGATTGCCCGATCGGGCAACCAGCAGGTGAGGCTTCATTGCCCGAGCTAAATACTAGATGGCCCCGGGCCATCGGGCAGTCCTTAATGTCGAGCCCTGCCTGTGTGACAGAGATGTCCTGTGTGACAGAGATGTCCTGTGTGACAGAGATGTCCTGTGTGACAGAGATGTCCTGTATGGTAGGTTTGTCCCGAATACCATTTTTCGGGCTCCGGATATTCTGTAGTAATCAGCAGCGAATATTCGGATATTCGGCCCGCGCGGGACTTTATGTCTTAAGTGTAATTTGGCTTGGCTTCCTAATTTTTATGGACAGGATGTTGTTGTTGCTATGGAAACAACGTGACGGAGATTAACGGAGAAAAGTCATATCTACATATAAAGACGGAGATAGTAAACGATAAAGTTTATGGTTAAGTGTTAGCACCCCCCGAAGAAGCACAAGCTCTTACGTTGATATTGGAGATTTCAATAAATTCAATAAAAAACGAAATAAATAATATCCGAATAACGAAATTGAAACCCGAATAGTACTCAAACGAACGAATATTCGGATATGGGTATACTGTATGTATGTATGTATACTGTATACTGTATGGGTTGATTGTGCGTTGATCTGTTGGTAATGCCTCGGGGTTCCGGTGGGCATGTAAACAAATGCATAATGCTGCGCTATACTTTGTGGCCTCACCCAGTTGCATAGCGACACTTATTGTTTAGGTGTCTTTTAATAAGCAGGTAGTCCTATCATTAGCTAGAACTAGCTGGATCTGATCGATATGGACTTAAACGCGAGTGAAGTCTAATCTGACCGGAGAGAGAGATCAGCTGCTGCTGACGAGTCGACACGCAGCTCTGCATGATCACCTGCAGCGGTGAGCGGTCAGAACACACTGCAGGTTAGAAGAACTATTCTAACGGGAACTCTGGTCGGTAGATGATTGTGCGTCACAATTGTGGAAAATCAAACATGATTTCTGTTCTCAAAACAATTTCTTAGTTCATTTTAGTACATTGCCGGATTGGTTTTATCAGGATATGCATGTGTGATTATCTTGCATGTCTAAAATGTTGTCTTCTTTGCAGGTAAAGACCTCTCAGATTGTCCAGCAGCACCTCCTCAAGACCAGCAAGTCCATACGGCAGCTCTATAGCACAGCTGCTGATGTTGATAGCAAAGTCATCCAGTGAGTGCTTTCGATCTCTGTGTTTTATCTTCAATATCTAAAAGCTGTCAAACTCAGCTCGTTGACCTGCCACTTAACAGTTAGCTGTGGTTATAATGGCTCTCTTCTGGGGTTGTGTAAGTGTGTTATTGTCTGCTATAGTAAATAAAGGCAATATTGCGATTGTATTCTGAAGTCAAATAAACGTTTTAAATGTCAGTAACACTGGTTGTGTCCTCTAGGTGCAAGCTGCAGGCGTTACTGAGGCTCGAGTTGTGTAGACTTTTCTCAGCAAAGCAGTCTGACTCACTGGATGTTGATCAGATGGCAGAGGAGGTGAGATTCTTGAAGTTAAAGATTACTGATAAAGTATAGTTGTTGGCTGTATTTGGCCGTCTTCTTAGTCTGAAACGATAATTGGAATAAAGTGTTGAAATCATCTCAATTGAATCGAGCCTTATTTCATAGTTTGCATATGTAATCAACACAAAATGTTACATATCATTTATTTTTCACCATTTGAATGTGTGTTTTGATGAAATGCATTTATTTCACAGTAGAGATATATTTAAAGAGTGCACTCTAACCTCTCCCGTTCTTCAGGTGGCTGACATGCTCAGGATAATCTCCCTCACTAAAGACCCCGTTGTCGTAGAGAGGTTCCTTGGAGACGAAGTCCTGCCGGGGTAAGGGCTGCAGAAATAATACTTGTTCTCTTGTTATCTCCCAGATAAATAATATGAAATAATGAACGCTGGTATATTTGAAAATGTCTTTAGAAGCCAATTTTGGGGCCGATCGCCGAAATCAGTATCAACCGATCGCCGATCCGATCGAGTGGGCGGGGCCTATGGGGATCTTCCATTTAAAGTGATGTTTAAAACTCAGTTAATGCTCATTCACTGGCGCTTCCACAAACAACAACCAACATCATTATTACATTCAAATGAAGTACATTATTCAAGTTCAGGGATGCATATCGTTGACTTTTTTACGATACCGATACCACTGAACGATACCGATACTCAACCGATACATATCGTGATACTTTGAAAATGTATCATCCCACAATTTCTCCCATGAAGCGCTTTACGATATGGTTAACATGTCAAATGAATATTAAATTAAATTGTGGGACTTCTTGGACCTTTTTAGTACTGAACAAACAATGAAAAATACATTAAAAAATATGAAGAAAACCGATTATGGAATATCTTCAGGTGTGCCGCGTGAATAGCACATCTTGTCAATGCAAACAGACCGTTATAGCACCGTTATAATTAATGTTAAACCTGAGATTCGACTAGAGAATAAATACATAATAATGGTCATGAGATCTCGGCATTGCACAAACAAACAAATCTCATCTTTAAAATCAACATTTGCCTTCACTGGTGAGAGAAAACAAATCCCATCAGTTCATTTGTGGGACTTTTACCTTTCTAGTATTGAACAAACAATGAAAAATACATAAAATATGAAGAAAAACGATTATGCAATCTAATGTATAACACCCGCCATCACGGGCCACGGACTCACTTTTAAAATATATATATATATATATTTTTTTTTAAAGTATCGAAACCGGATCTGATTTCGGTACGGTATACCGTAGCCACCAGTAACCGGTATTTCGGTAATACCGGATACCGGTATGCATCCCTAGTTTACATTAACTTTGGAGAAATAACACTGGGAGAAATGAGAGGAATCGCTCTTTTCCTCTCTGCTCTCTCTCTGATCTATAAGGATCCTCTAGAGTATTCGAGAGTGGAGATGATATCTCCAGATAGAAGCATAGGCGGAGTAGGGGAGAGAGAGGGGAGATCTATTTTCGGTCGTAATATCGATACGCCTCTTATCGCTCTCTCTAATCTCGGCTAATCATCTTTTTCGACTTCTCTTCTCTTTCTCTTTCTCTCTATCTTTCTCTTTTCCTCTCTCTCTCTCTCTCTCTCTTTCTCTTTCTCTTTCTCTTTCTCTTTCTCTTTCTCTCTCTCTCTCTCTCCTGTCAGTATCGTCTCATGCAGCTCACTGATCCAGTAATGAGTGACCTGAGAGTTAAGAATAAATATATTTATAACTAGTTTAGCTTGTTCCAGAGGTAGATAAAATAGCTAAGTCTGTTAGGTCTAACTCTTAGTGTGTGTTCTGCTCTGCTCACCGGCCCGTCACAGCGGGTGGAGCTGCAGGATTTCTGCTTCACACACACACACACACACACACGTTGCATACCGCGATTGAATTGTCTTTTTCTCGGACACACTTTTGTTTCTTGTTTTCCATAATTGTTTTTCAAATTGCGACTGTAAAAAAAACGTCATGTTTGAGTTAGCGTTAACACTTTCAATTTGAATCCAAATATCATTTATCTGTGATTGTTTAAATATTTGGTGTTTCTGTGTCCTGGCAGGTTCCTGACAGCTGTCCCCAGAGTGCTGGCAGACGTGTACCACAGTCTGGGCACGCAGCTCCCAGAGGCTCTGGTGGCGTCTCTGCCCGCCGACTTCTTCAGCGACGAGTCGGTTACTAAGGACAGCGTTTCTCCCTCGGCCTCCTCCCCTCCTCTCTCCACACACAGCCTGCTCTCAGACGGCAGAGATCGCCTGCAGAGCCTGAGGAACCGCTCCCCCGGCAAGAGGAGGTGAGGGGCCGAAATGACATTTGTGCAGTTATGACATCAGGAATCCTAGATGTATGTATTTATTTATTTATTCCACACATGGCAGTTATTTTAAAACAAAACATGTGTACACTTTACAAAACATGTACGGTACACTTATATCTTATTTGACCTGGCCCTCAATACAATAAGAGACATTTCAGTAAAGATGATGTTGTTCTATGAATTACTTGAATGCAAACAGTAATTTATTATTTCTGTATCAATTTTATGATAAAGCCAGGACGAAAATGTTTTTAAAGATGTATGTATGTCCGTGACAGATGTACGTATGTCCATTTTTAAAGATGTACGTATGTCCATGACTATTTTTTTTTTTAGGAGTGGGATGCTGACTCGTCATCGCAGTATGACTGAATCATCGCAGAGTCTTCGCCAAATAGAGATCCCCAAAAAGACAACAAGAGCTGTAAGATGTCTATAAATAATTCATCTGATTTACAACTTTGATCAGCTAATATTTTGATAAATATCTCTCGGTTTTATTATTTTGTAATTTTCTTTTTATTCAAATTGTCATTATTTTCATGCGGCCAAGGACCCCTATCACATGGTATGGAGCACATATATAAATCAAATGGTGTATGGCTAAATAACAACACATATTACTTAAACAAAGGAAGGTTAATTTGTTTAAATGTTTGCATACTTTAGGTTTTTTAACCAGATTGTGTTATCTAAAGGCAGAAACATTTTCAAATGTGGTTTTATTTATCATCAGCTTTCTGTGTTTTCCTGTGAAGACCATCACCCAAGAGAGACTTGAGGAGACATTTGCTCATATATGTTACATGGTTATTTAAACTATCTAATCCAGATTATCTAACCATCTTTAATCTCTGCTCTTTAGTCCAAATCAAAGGGCTGCGTTGCTTTGGAGAAACCTGCTGCACAACCTCCACCTCAGAAGCAAGATACTCAAGGTATGTTCTGTTTTACAACTCATTTAAAAACAACCGGCACAACTTCTCGTTTATAACAAAAGTCTTCTGGCTTTTATGAAAAAAGCTCCTCTGTTCGTTTGGCTATCAAGCATTTGTAGCCTGCTTCCTAATGAAGAACAGGGACTGTCTGTTATTGAAGGAGTGTTTAAAACATCCTCAGAAAACTAAAACACACTTATACAGAATAACCCACTCTTCTTCAGTCCATTAGTCTGCTCATGTATGTTGTAATCATTCACAGCTGTGGCCAAATATAGGCCTACGTCTGATGTAGGGCTGCACGATATATCGTATCGTGACGATAATCCCGCGGCCCGTACACACAGCAGCTTTTGGCGATTTGTCCACCGCTTCCAGCGCGTCTCCGCCCATTGACTTTGAATGGGGATGACGTCACTTTCCCTCGCTTGTCGCCGAACTGCATTGTGGGGGGCGAGGCGAAGATTTCCAGGATTTCCAGGATGTTCAGGATTCCAAAGTTGAACAATGTTCAACTTTTGAGGCTGAGCTGGAAGCGACAGCCAATCAGATCCGTTTATGCAAATCTGACAGTTCAAGCGCTAGCCAATCAAACCGCGTGCAAGCTGGGAGAACGAGACCCGCAGTTCATTTCTATATTCCACAAAAATGGAGGAGAACTTAGTTATTGCGGTAGCAAATCACCCGGTTCTTTATGACCAGTCCCTATTTACTTACCGGGATACAAACCGGAGGAACCAGGCATGGAGGGAGGTGGCAGAGGCAGTGGGTGAAACTGGTAGGTTTTCGCTTGTTTGGGGATTTTATATCCAGTTTACTTCGTTGCTAGTTTACTTCGTTGCTAGCAAGCATAGACAGTATCATTAGCCAGCATGGAATGTAGCATAAAATAGCACCATAGACATTAATCTCATAAATGTTCAAAATGTTAAAAAAAGAAATGTTCATCATAGCCCTTCCCACACTTTACCTCTGCCACATCATAGACTATATCTGCATCACATTAATGCACACAATGTCATATTCCTTTATGCACATATTCTGATTTCACATTTCTTAGTTTATATGCAAAAATGCATTCATAGCATTCTATTTCCATGTAAATTACTGCTTTATGTAATTGTTATCTTATTGCAATTTAACTGTATTTTATTACGGTGTAAAACATTGTGTTTTATATTAGATTTCTTGTTTTTTATATATGCACCATGACATCAAGTCAAATACCTAGTATGTGCAACCTACCTGGCAATAAACCTGTTTCTGATTTTGATTCTGATAAAGTGTGACAAAACCTTTTATGCAATTGACAGTGATAAAGGGATTAGGTTTTCATTAATGGAGGAATAATTTTCGTAAATTAAAGAAATTAACTATTCTTTCATTTCATTTTATTAGACGAAGTGTGCAGAAAGAAATGGAAGACACTGAGGGACAAGTACAGGAAGGAGAAACAAATTGAAAAGGAGGGGAAAATAAGCGGTGCAGGGTCTTCGGGGGGACATAAGCCCTGGCATCTCACGGCAGTCATGACTTTTTTAAACCCATTCATGATTGACCGTGAGACGTCCAGCAATGTCCCCCGGCAAACCCTTCCTCCATCCACCCTGGTGCCAGAGGAAGAGAGCCAGGAAAGCCAGCCAGCAAGTCCAGCCAGCCAGCCAGCCAGCCAGTCAGTCAGTCAGCTAGTCAGTCAGCTAGTCAGCCAGCTAACAGCCAGCAAGCAGAGCAGACAGGACAGGAGGAGGCGAGTGTTGCGATCCGGGGGAAAAGGAAAAGGGGAAGTGAGATGTCCTCCTTTCAGCAAAGTTTGCTGTCTGCCGTCGGTCCTATTCTGGCCATGCCACCACCACCCCCACCAGTGGTGGTGGAGGAGGACGAGGACCTGTCATTCTTCAAGAGTCTCTTGCCCACCATGAGAGTGATGTCAAGACAGAAGAAGTTAAGAGTCAGATTTGACATTCACAAGGTGGTTTTGGAGGCAGACCAGGAGGAAAATTGATTACTGATACTGATCCACATTACATGTTTTTACACTCATCACACACTTCACTGACAACATTACATAAATAAAAGTTATTTAAAGTATGTTATGGCTCTACTGTGTCTTCACTTGTTCATGTGGTTTGTCAGTTGCAACATACCAGAAGCTTCATGTATGTCGATATATAATGTGCCTTCTTCTGTAATACGAGTCATTACTGCGGACATTACCCACAGGAGCAAATGCGGGTAAAGTGTCGGCCGAGGCGGGATTCGAATTGGAGCACACCAACGCCCCTTGATCTGATGACCAACGCTCTAACCACTGCGCCAAAACCGCCCCAACCATATAACCATATATCCAGCCCGATCGTCGATTTCCAAAGATTTAATGTAATTGTTTGCTTATCTGGCCATTGTAATCGGGCTCTTTGAAGATCCAAAAGTCCACGGTTTTATTACATTTCTGATCAGATTGGCAAAAACTTCAGAATGTGTAGTGACCGCCATTCAAATGACAGCTTTGTTTTCCCCCAAAAGTGGGCGGAGCCGAACGTTTGCCCGGAAGTGACATGCGCGATATATATTTTTTTTGGACGTGCGATATTAAGTAGGTAAATTAACTCGTCATATTACAATTATTTTGCTGCTTGCTACAAAAGGAAAACTCGCGCGGCTCTCATGTCAGGGGTAGAGTACTTGAGTGACATGCAGGCTCTGCATGCACAGCAAGCCACCAATCACAACCATTCTTGATCAGATCACAGCAGGATAACCGAGCTAGCTCAGCTTGTTGCTCTGATAACTTAAAATCCAGAAGTCCGTGACTAAAATCCTTCATCCGGTTAAATATCGTTAAAAAAATACCAATTGTATAGCATTAAAGTTCAAGAAAGGATGGTTTGCGGACAAAAAAAACTGCCTTTTCTTCAATTCCTGTATTTTTTCATATCTCAATATATATCGCAGGGGGAAAGAATAGCGCACTCAGTTTTTTCCAATATCGTGCAGCCCTAGTCTGATGGACCTTTTTAAGAAGACAATGTCACTGGGTGTTTCTCAATCGCGAGGATGCTGGCTTGGTAGTCGCGTACTTCCAAGTCACTTCCTTCAGAAACGAAGCAAGTATGCTTCCAAGCCACGGCTTCAGAAAACGAAGAAGAATGGAACAGGCTAACAAGTGTGCCACTCTCTCTAACGGTTTCAACATAAACTGTACCGAAAGTAAATACCTCACGATGTCTATCTAATTATGAACTTGCTTTACTTTCACGGAACACATTTTTGGTGATAACAAATGTAACAAAGTAACATATTTTCCAACACATGTTCTACGCCACTACATACTTACATTTAAATGTGTGCTGCGTCGGTTCAGCCCCTCCGCAAGGGTTTTTCAAATCGGTCCGTGCGCAAAGCATTGTGGGGATTTTAAGGACGCGAAGTCTACCCATGTGCAGCCTCGAAATTTCCCCCAAACCAAGGACGCGGCCTTGGTGGAATTCCAAGTATGTTGGAGATTGGAACAGTCCTTCGGCGGCACTCGATGACGTAGCATCCTTGAAATATTGGCTTGGAAGCCAGTATCCTCGAGATTGAGAAACGGCCCCAGACTCAAATCCAAGATGAATTCAGCTATTTTTCCACAAAGAAGCAAACTAGAAAGTTGTTGAATGTTTTATAGTTTAAGATGCAGTCTTTAATCCAGACCATATTCTAAATGTCCACAGAGGTGACGAAGGTGAGACGAAATCTGTTCAACCAGGAGATCGTTTCCCCTTCAAAGAAAGCCAAGATGCCGAGGAGCCAGTCTGTGTCCGCTGTGGAAGGTTTGAAACGCAAGAGTACTGCTGAATCAGAAGGTAAACCAAATTAAATAAAATAAAATATATTGTAATTGAGGCAATGAAAGCTGACTTTTCATCAGAAGGTGTTCGTTTGTTTCAGTATTTATGTTCAGATATACACTGCTACATTGAGAGTTTGAAAGCGTTAGATTTGGGTTTTTTTTGCAGTGATGAATTCAACACCGTAACTCAAAGGAATATCTCCCTTTTCAGAGCGACACAAACTTATGACAAAGAAAGTGTGTGAAACCCCGCACCACAAGCAAGGGTCAAATCGCCTGCTATACCGGCAGAAAATGGGAAGGTATGTATCTATCGACAGTTTGCCTTAAAGAGATTTATTGAGGGTTTTTTCTATCGTATAACTAAAAATAATTACTAATAAAAAACTATTATAACCTGCCATGTTTTCATTTTTAGGAGATCTGTCCCAACTGAGGAGTGCATTGTGGAAGAGTCACCAGTAAAACCTGCAGACGGTATCTTATCAAATCGTTTTATTTCCCACGCAATGTATATTTATGTGGAGTTAGAAGTATATCCTGTATTTGTCTTTTGTTTAACCCTCCGCTATCATTCGATTGGACTACGCAAATTAGTCATTCGGGACAAAAATGTCCACTGCCAAAAACTTTGATAAAAACATTATATTAAAAGGTTTTTTTCTCAACTTTTTTGGGTTCAATCTTTAAAGCAACTTCCGCCCTAATCAAAAATACCAAATATTTTTATCATTTTCAGGATTTTAACCCTTTAAATGCCATTTTGAAGACATGAAATCGCTGTTGTTTTTCATGATAGAAACAGAGAAAATGATTTATTTTCCATATAATACATATCTGGGGAATGGCTTCTTTTTTTTATCACAGTCTTGGATATGTCAAAGATTAGCAACAACATTTATTTGTTTGCATTATTAGTTTTTGCACAAAATCAGATTAAACAAAAAATTCACACATTAGTGATTCGGGACAAAAATGTCCACTTCCAAAAACTGCTATAAAATGATAACAGATTATTATTATTTTTACATTTTTTGGAGTTAAATCTTTCAATCAACTTCAGTCCTGATCAAAAATACCAAATATTAAATCATTTTCAGGATGTTAACCCTTTAACTGCCAGTTTGAGAACATGAATTTGCGTTTTCTATGAAAAACGTGCACAAAAAGGCAGTCATGTTTTTATCAAAGTCTTTTGCAGTGGACATTTTTGTCTCGAATGGTCAATAAGCGTAGTCGATTTGTTACACAGTGAATTAAAGACCGATTTGAAAAATGTAAATTGGAATTCCAAAATAGATCGAGAAAATAGCCTTGTTACAAAGAAATCAGGCCATTTGCACCAACACAACCAAAGTTATTGCAAAATGAAATGTGAAAAATTACCCATATGGACAAAAACGTCCACAGTGATACCGGAAGGTTAAAAACAAAAGAAAGTCTCCGTTGTTTCTTGAAATTAAGAAATAATCAGAGATATAAACCGAGCTAGAGTCTTGGGGTTTTTCGTCTTTTTTTAATTTAAGCATTTCAATGAACATAACCAATTTACTGGTACATTGAATTACTTACATTTGCTATTAACTAATTCTTGTGTATAGCAATTCAAGATTAAAACAAACTGGATACTCTCAATTCTCTTCACATTTTATATTTGTACATTTGATCAATTATTGTCTTTCCCTTAACTTACTCTTGTTGTGCTTTTTGGTTTTGTTCCAGACCTAAGAAGGAGCCCAAGAATAAAGAAGTTTGCTCGAAGACACTCGAACGTCTTCTACTCCAGTTCTCAACCTCGCTCGAGCAACCTGGAGAGAGCTCTCTCTGCCTCGCAGCTCTCTCTCAGCGATGGAAAGATCAGTGGAATAAACGTAAAAATGGTCCGATCTCCCATGAGACTTCTCTTCGGGGCGGCTGAGTCCCCGAGTCGTCTTTCTGACCCGCCGACTGCGACCAGAGCCACCAGGTCCCGCCTGTACACTGACTCCAGTGTGTTTGAGGTGAGTTCTCTCTTTTAGAAGTGCGCTTCATCAAAACACATCATGTAGTGCAGGGGTGTCCAAAATGCGGCCCGTGGACCATTTTGAATCGGCCCTCAGCAAATTCTGAAAGTATAATGGAAAACGGCCCTGTGAAGCTGACAATTGAGCGGCCTGACCAAGCAAGGAGGCAGAGGCAGAACGTCCAAAAATACAACCCGGTGTGGGCATTTATTAAATCATACACATATGATATGACACAGCCTCAATCTGCTGCTCCTGTGCGCACAGCCACCAGCCACCACACTACCCGCTCCCCCACAGACAGGGAAACAGAGCCTAAATAACCACACACTAATCAGCAATTAGACACAGGTGAGGGGAGAGCAATTAGACAGGGGGGGGGGGGGGGAGGAGGAGACAACACAGGGCACCAGGTGCACACAATCAACAGCAACAGACATGGGGGAAGGGGAACACTTTTCAACATAAAACCAACAAACAGAGACTGACAACTAGTGATGGCGAGATGAAGCCTTATGAAGCTTTGAAGCTTTCCAGCCAATTGGTTCGCAAAAGGGTTCATCTCATGAGGCTTCATCATGGGCTTCATTTGAACACAAACCCCCCTGTTGGTCAAAGTGTGTAAAACAGGCAGATTGGACATCTCAACAGTGTGCTCCATCATCTCATACCGAGTTCCATTGAGTAAAGCCTTAGAATAACTCTAAACAACGAACATTAAATCATATTTTCATGTTAACAATATTGTATTTATTCCAGTTTAATGATTGTGATTGAAAAGCCTAAGGAGGCTGGTAAACATTGCAAAGAGGGATTTGTATTCCTTAATAATATTCGTAAACGTAACCATGTTGTAGCCGGAGAAAGGCTAAACCATATCAAAGAATACATTTATTAACTACATTATCTCATTTAGCTGTAGCTTTTATAAACAACAAAAAATACGTATTGTTCAGTCGTTGAACCAGGGACCCTGCGGTCATGAGTCAACTGCTTTCCAGCTGAGCCACAGCACACACACTAAAGCTCCCTGAAAACACTGCAACATATGTATTCCTGTATTTATTGATGTTTTTATTCCTACATTTATTTATGCTTGTATCTATTTATACTTATGACATGTTCCGACCTCTATAAGTGAGGGTCTGAGCTCTCTTGATTCCATCGTGTCACCGGGCCCGGGTACAGGAGGGGTAATATGGTTCTTATTATACATCCATGGGTATTATCAGCGCTGTGGTTCAACGGTTCAACCGATCTGAATCGCTTCCTGAAGCAGTCACGTGGTATCGACAGGCAGCGAGGCTTCGTTTGTCATCGATGACGTCACTGGCCCAAAACGATACAAGCCTCGTTACATGCTTCACAAAAAGCTTCGGAGATTACTCGACACACGCTCCGAAGCCTCGGCGCAATACGTAACATCACTACTGACAACCTAAAACACATACAGATGCACACACTACATACATTTCGCCACCAACAAAACTACACAATTCGTAACGGAGGCCGAGATCTATGGCCCCAAAGATCACTTCTGTTACAGGCCCACAAATGATACTTGTATTCAGGGTTCTTACGGTCATTTAAAAACCTGGAAAAGTCATGGAAATTCAAAATGCAAATTCCAGGCCCTGGAAAAGTTATGGAAAACAATATTTTTAATTGAAATCTAACTAAAGTTGCATCAAATATCATTTATAGTTTATCTAATTTCTGAAATAGTAATACTATAATGATAATAAATACTTTATCTTATAGTAATGAAAGTATTTAGCTGGTGAGAGATTTTAGTTGCTTCAGCGTGTAGAAGCTAGGAAGCCTTTGATTTGTTTTAGACAAGCACAACATGTTTCATATGCAGACCTTATTTTCCTGTTCCATGTTAAAATAAACCATTTTCAGTGGTACCGCTGAGAGTAATTATTTTGGTCATGGAAAATTAGGTAAAGGTCCTGGAAATCATTGGTGAAAAAGTGTATGAACCCTGTATATTGTACTTCTTAAATGTATGTGTAAACATATATTACAAAGTAGTATTCGTGTGTTAATAAGCCCACTTTTTGAATAAATTCACTCAATTACATTTGAAAACATTTCCTAAATAATCTAACTTGATAAGAAAAAAGCTTATTTGTATAACAAGCGTGAAATATACCCTTCATATTTCCCCAAATAATAAGCAATCTGAAGCTCCTGTTTTAAGGAATGAGCTGTCAACATAATAAATGAAACCCTCTGGAGAGCTGTGATGTAGGCTGTTTTGTTTCTTTAAAGCATTTTCAAGTATCAAGCATCATTTACCTACATTTGATTGAGTTTGCTGTCTTAAAACGTAACTTATGAGGAAATATACCTCTAGTGCAAGGGTTTCAAACTCAAATGGGCCAAAAATAAAAAAATGGGTACTAGTCGAGGGCCGGGCTCAATGTTTATTGCAAAACGTATTGAAATGAACTTATTGCACATATTAAACCTGGAACTAACAAAGCTTAAATTATTGCCTATCAACATGAAACATTAAATAATCAGTTGCATTCATTTCTTATGGCTCTATCTGCAGCTTCATTTCTTATGATTACATTTTTCCACAGGCCAACAACAGCTTCAAAAAAACAATTTCCCTCAAAGAGAAACCAAACATGCCCTGCTGTCATGAGAGAGAAAGTGCAGAAGGAAACATCCATTAAACTCAGGTTGCTGCTCTGTGATGCTAGTTCAAGCAGATACTTGGCATCTCATCTTGGGTGCAAGTTCATCAATGTTTGGCCTCAGGCTCTGAGCTGAGGAAACCCTCAGGATGGAGTGAAGGTGTGCGTGCAATATACCGGCGGGCCAGATCTAATAGTAATTAAAAATCAACCTGCGAGCCGAAATTAAATCCACCACGGGCCTGATTTGGCCCCCGGGCCTTGAGTTTGACACACGTGCTCTAGTGAGTGGCCCATCCCTTCGTATATTTTTCTGTATGTGGCCCTCGTGACAAAAGTTTGGACACCCCTGTAGTAGTGGATGTACTTCTACAGTCTGAATGTCTTTTAAGTATGTGCTACCAAAGGGAAACGGATTCAAAACAATTACTGGACACAATGAACTAAAGAGCAGTGATTTCCTTCCTGAAACTGGCAAATTACTAAAGCGTCTTTGTTTACCTGCATGTCTTAAAAATAGATATTCATGAATGTTCGTGTGGCTATTCTTGTCAAATTAGTATGTGGAGATCCATTATATTACAGTATTTGTATTCTTTCAGCCATCTTCACATACTTTTAAGATGGTGATCCATTCCTTTAATGTATTTAGCTGGATTTTTCAGGAGAAGTAGTAGGTACATAAATAAAATCTTGATCAAGTGACATTTGACCTACTCTACAACCAATAGGAAAATATGTGCACGCTTTCTGTAGATAAACAAATGACCGAGGAGAATTTTGTCCGACGAGGATATTGAGTTTGCCATAATAACTAAAAAGGGGACTATATGTCAGTTATGTTTACAGTTAGTTACCGCTGCCTTAAAGTTAATAATACATTTAATTTATCTAGCGCTTTCCTAAGAGCCGCTTTCACACAAGTACTTTGCCGTACTTCGTTCCCAGCACTTAGTTCCCAACTCTTAGTTCCCCCATGGAACTAAAGAGCCGATCGCATTCACACCGGAATAAGTTCCCTGAGGGCAGATTACGCAAATGAAGCCGCTGACATCACTTCTTCTTCTTCTTTTGCTTTGGGTTTACTGGCAGGCCGCAAACAACTTCACGGCGTATACTGCCACCCGAAGTCCCCGCCGTTGCCATAAGTTAGTCTCTCTGCGTTGGTGCGCGGGGCTAATGCTAATGCCAGCAAATACAATGACGGCTTCAAAACACTTTTCCGAGTTTTACGGGGCGTGGTTTGCAATTCGCCCAGCCAATCAGAAATTGGAACTTTGTTCTCCCCAGGAAAGTACCACCTCTCTAGCAGGCACTAAAAAGGGGGGAAAAGTTCTCATGAACTAAGTTTGGTGTGAACGCAAAATCCCAGGAACTATCAGAACTAAACGGGAAAAGTACTCCGGTGTGAAAGCGCCTAAGTCGCTTTAGAAGAATACAATTCACACAACAAACAAAGATGAAATGAAGTCAATTAGAAGCATTACAAAAAATACAGAACGGAAAGCATCATGAAATGTCCGAGTAATAAAGTTGAAGTTGAAACAAATGTTGGTTATTGCAGGTTTAATGACTTTTTTGTTTGTGTGTTTGTTTTAGAGCCCAAATAAAACGCCAACTAAGTCACCTGGTAAACATGGGAGGGCCACACATGGGACCAGAACTCCAAGGACCCCTCGTACCCCAGGATCCCCCAAAACCCCGCCTCGGTTCAGGATGCGTGTTTCCCCCGCTGCTCAGAGCCCAGTAGCAGGAAGCTCTCGTGAAGTAGGTATGGCTCTGAGAGGAAGTCCATTCAGATCTCCAGCCAAACGCGCTCTTGTGGTCGAGACACCGACTAAAGAGAGCCCTCTGAGGAGCCCGCTGAAGGGGATTCTCAGGACTCCGATCAAGGTCTTGGTTGAATCCTCTTCCGGGTTACATATTCTCAATAGCCCAATTACCCAGACTCCCAAGAAGAGCGTCACATGGTCTCCATCTCCTCGAAAATGTAGAGTGACAGAGAGCAGCGGTACTTTCAAGGTGCCAGAGTCGCCGAGCGTTGCATCTCGCTCTTCTCCTACACTGAGAAACAAACTGTTCTGCAGTCCTGTCAAAAGCACAAACACTAAAAGAGACATTTTCAAGACTCCAGAAAAGACTTGTCAAGTGAGACTGGTGAGGATTTCTGAAACTCCGGATAAAGTTCTTCTGACACAGAATACAAATCCAAAGTCCTCTGAAAAACTTGACAGAATGAAAACCCCTGAGAAAGTCAGTCTACTGGAAATGTCTAACCCTAACCCTCCACAATCCACACCACCACAAAACCATAACCTGTCACATAAACCCAACACTAGAACTAATTCGAAGACTCTTAGTCCTGATCGCATGGTGACTCGTTCTGGACGAACTCCAGCCAAACATGTAAACATTTCATCTCCATGTAAGCCAGTGTTTGCTCCAGCAGAAGGTTCTACCATTTCAGAAGGACCAGATAAATCAAGAAAGACTCCAGTAAAGTCCTTAAGAAGAACAAGGTCTGGTCAAGGTGTTGAAACCCCCAGATGCAACTTAAGATCCCAGTCTAGTGAGAATCTTCCCTCGAAACTAAACACAGAACCTGCTGAGCACTGTGAGCTTGTGGTGAAGGACATTCAGTCCGATACAAAAGACGAGGTACAAGCAGAACCTTCACAAACCTCTGAAACGGACTCTAGTCCCCACAGAGATTCCCACCAGCTTGACTCTTCACGTTTTAACTCCACAGACGATGAAAGTATGGATATTGTCGATGCTGCGGTTGTCAAGACTCAGTTCAGTGGAGGTATCAAGATGAACATCAGCTTTTCACGAAAGACCTCAACGTCCGGGGAAGACTTTTTGTCGAACATGTCGTCTCCTAAATCACGTCCGGCACTCCCGGGAACACCTAGCCGGAGCTACGGTTTCCGACAGACCCCCGACCGCCAACAGAGGGAAGCTGCAGCTCGTCTGGGTTACGGAAATGAATCCCCTCGATTTTCAACCCCAAGAGGTCCAGCTAAACTTAGTCGTCAAAAGAGCATGGATACTCCCAACCCTATGACTTACCAGGTAGAAATGGAAATGGAAATGCAAACATCGGGAGTTCCTAAGCTCAAAATCAAACGTACAGATTCCATGAACGCGGGCGATTCGGCCTCAGACGGCGGCCCTCGATCGGGAGCTTGGAGCCCCTTAGTTCGTGTGAAACCTTCTCAGCTGGAAAGCCCCTTGGCTCTGTTCTCTAAGCACAGAGATCCGGCATGTGTCTCACCGTCTCTCTGTACTCACGTCACCCCGGCAAAGATTACGCCTAGAAAAGGTGGGAGCGTACAAACGTTCATTTGTCAGTCCTACACCCCGACACACTATCCTGGGGGAACAATGTCTCCTATGATAGCAGACATAATCCCCCTCACTCCTTCACCACAGAGCGGAGGTAAAGCCACTCCTGACAACCTGAACAGCTGGCCCCGCAGGAAGAGAGCTCAGATTGGGATGGGTGGAGGCAAGGGTCGGGGCCTGAAGATGGAGCCTATGCTGGAGGAGTTGTTAGAGCAAGCTGAACTCGGAGTTAGCAGACTGCAGGACGTCGAGGACACGGAGGAGCCGTCAAACAACAAAGCAGCAGGATCAGCCTTGACCTCTAAACAGTCTCTCCCAGCTGGAGCAGATGCTTCTCCTCTGTCTCCACTGGAGGACTTGTACTGGTTGGAGCAGCTGGGTGGAGCTGATCCTCAGGGAGAAGAAGATGATGAAGACATCCTCTGGGCCACCGGGACTGGAGACGTCAAGTCAGGTAAAACTACTGTTCAAACATTACAGCTCAAATGTTTGTTGAGGATAAAATAGGTGCACTGGGTCAACCCATTTTCCATTTGTGCTATTCTTATTCTTTATTAGGATCCCCATTAGCACTAGCATGAGCATTGGCTATTCTTCCTGGGGTCCTTAGACACACAAAACATACATAAAACAAAACGGCTCATAATTTCATGCAATTTACAGTGCTATATGAAGTGAAAACTAAAATGGTCATCTAATTTTAGCCATATAAAGTAAAAGAAAACAGTTCAAGTGAGAATGAATAAGCAATACTCTGTGGTTTTTGGTATTGCTTGCAGCTTTTAGAAAGTTGTTGTTTTTTTATTCTCACTCCAATTCTTTCACTTTGACTCAAAACAGCTTCTATATTCTGCCCACGTATTAAATATGCAATGATACGAGAGGAAAGCAAGAACATTTTCATATATTTAAAGCTGTAACAAGTATATAGGATATAGTTCAGCTTGATACATGTCTGAAATCAAATATAATGTTATAGTAAATGCTTTAATTAACTTGAAGTAAATTAAAGCCACCCTTAAAAAATATATATGGTAAAATAATAAAACCGTTATTATACCAATTCTGTTTTCCACACCTTGACAGTAGCGACGCCCCCCGGCTCCACGGTGAGGAAGCCGGTGACAGCGAGTGGGATTTTGGCGCTCACTCACTCTCCGCTGTTGTTCAAGGGCAACGCCTGCTCTGCTAGTAAGAGAACACCCAACTTTAAAGGTAAGATCTTAGTGCTGTGAGCCACATGGTAACAAACATACTCTCACAGGCAGGTTTGAAACATCCCACATTTGTTCACACAACATTTTTAAATTTGATTTTATTAAGAAAACAAACACATTGTTGTTAATGATTTATGCTTATGCAATAAATCATTCAAATATAAGTTATATCCATAAATGTTATTATAATAAACGAGATCTACTTGACTGCATGCTAGGGCTGCTCGATTATAGAAAAAATCATAATCACGATTATTTTGGTCAATAATTGATATCACGATTATTAAATACGATTATTCATTGACTTTGAAAACATCCATTTATTGAACTTTAAAACAAATACAAATAATAATTTGAACAGCATCTTTTTAACTGTTGATCACCGTTGATTAAAATTCAACTGAAAAACCAATACTAAAATAAATTATACTTTTATATTTACATTTAAATAAATAATATCAAAATAATAAATACCAATAAACAAAATCAACAAATATTTTGGAGCGCACTTCCACAAGCTACTAAATAAATATAAATATGATAAATAAATGAGATCAAATATGTTGCAGTGCACTGTCACAACCTAGCAAAGCTAAATAATCGTTTTTTTCGATTATGTTTTCGTAATTGTGGCAAGCCAAAATCGTAATTGCGATTAAAATACGACTAATTGCACAGCCCTACTGCATACTGTATTCAATAACAATCAGTTGTGAAACTATTTGAATTCCCACTCAACAAATGAGAATAAAATTACCTTAAAACATTACTGACATATGATCAGTAAAAGTCATCTTTTATTTTATTATCTTTAATTATTTCTTCTTGTATTCTTTAGGAAGATGCTCAACTATCGCATATAGAGCTGCAATTCATATATAAGTTGACAAGCAGAGAATTAATAAACTCTTTTCATAATAAAGTCATTGTTTCAGTGTTTTTAAGCAAAGTGCCCCAAAAACTTATGGTTGTGGCCTTATTTACACCAAATAATGTTATTTGTAGTTGTCCAGGTAAGCCTATAGTTCATTGCGCTATCATTTGAATGGCCTTTCAGACAAAATGACCAGACAACCGGATAAATCATTTCAGCTTCCTTTACTCAGGGTGTCCGCGGGGTCTTAAAAGGTATTACAAGTTGATCAATCAATTTTACGAAAATTAAGGCTATTAAAAAGTATTAAACGGCATTTTCAAGTTATTACATTTTGTATAAGTATATAAATTGTCCAAAGAGGTTGTATTCTACAGTCTGCCTGAATGTAATCATTGCGGAGGTGTGTAGTGTGATTCTGTGTAGTTTATTTATGGCATCCCGTTGGGTTTGACGTCATCTGAACAGGACATCGCACGCTCACTGCTTGATAGCGCGCAAAGGTCCGTTTACGCCGGTTGCTAAGCAACATCGTTATGGGGAAATGCAAGTCTGCGTCCAAATGGTTGGAAGATAAGGAGGAAGGACAATCAATACTGTAGTCAATGTGAGGTAAAGTGTGTCGCCAAGGTAACCGGTTAAAACTCCAAGTGGAGATGAGGTCTTAAAATGTATGGCAAGGGTCTTAAAAAAGGTCTTAAAAGGAATTACATTTGACTTCAGGATTCCTGCATATACCCTGTTACACTACATACCTAACACTCCTCATGTTTTCCTTATCTCTGTAGATGAAGCAGCGTCAGGGAGGAGGGTGGAGGGAGTGGAGGTCTCTCCCTTCAGCCAGTCAATCAGACGGGCTGACACAGGACGGTCCTACAGCAGGAAGAGGCTGCTGCACTGAACGACAAACATTGTCCGTTGTGTTTCACTGTGAGCCTTCCTCTCACACGCTTTGTCTGAGAGAGCTTTTGATGGCAGATCTGAAGGATGTCTTTCAGGCGCCACTTGAAAGGCTGGAGCATGAATGTCCTAGGACCAGCTGTTTCTGTTTCAATGAGGAGATTTTATTATGATAGGTACGTTTAGCTGTGAGTTGAAAAGCTAAGCAGTTCTTCCAAGATGTTTAAAATTGTTCCTATTAATGATTTTAGCCACCTAAGTCTCCTGAAGCTAAAATGGTGATATTATGTCATCAGTGTTTTTGAAATAAGCAATTTTACAATCAAGTCTAAATGTGTTGCTCTGAATATTCATGTTTATTTATTAGTCTGTTTTTCTGTCATAGTCTTGCTTTTTCTGTGAAAGGGAAGGGCCTAATGATTGATTCATATTGTTAATACCTTATGTTGCAAATACTTTATGTAAATAAAAATCTGTTTTCTTAATTAAGGAAGGAAAATGCTTCTTTTTTGTATTCATACCATCACTGCTAGATGTTTGTACAGAGTTCAGTTTCTTCTTCGCAGATCTGGAAGTAGAAAATGTCCCTCGCTCATGCATACAGAACAGCTCGAGCTGTGATGTTGCAAACGCTGCCGTGACTCAACAGCAGCTTCAAAGTCCTGCCACGTACTGTAGGATTATATTAGGGTATGAACTCTTGACTTCTCTACAACATTAACATTGTTGTTTGGTACTTTCAGGACGTTCCCCCTTCAATATGAAGCAATGCACATGAGGAAAGTCACAGCTATGACTTATTACCATTTCCTTACGGTATACCTTACTGAAGCTCAGCGCAAGTTCTTTCAGGAAGACTGTGTATATATACAGTCACTCCGCAGCTGCTTATAATCAGCTCATCACGGGCGTTCTGTTAACCTATTACATTCACCTCATTCTCCAGCAGCCAATCACTGTGCTGCAGCCAAACTTTAAAATGGTTCTCCTCTCTCCTGCAGTCAGCGTGATTTTAGGTTTCATGCTGCCTCCTCCCCATCCACCTCCTTTCATCTCATTCAGTGCCAGGAGAGCTAATCCAAAGACTTCATCCCATCTCCTCATCAAATCCAGATCTTCAGCATCATCACCAGTGTCTAGACCCCGGGGGGTTCCTTATGCTCACGTCTGCATTTCCCATTTTAGATATATACAATTTCAGGATCGGAGTCAAATCGCCAAAGACTTAATATTTATCATATGACGTGTCAATAAATGTTCTTTAAACAAAATGAAGTCTCTTCTGATTGAACTGATTCTGAGGGATTTTCAATTGATCAGCTTCCAGATACAGTTGTATTTAACCTTTAATCACTTATCACACCCTTATAAAGCACTGTTATTCTTAATTTCAGGTATTATGCAGCAATTTTCTTCAAAAATATGATTATTTTATAAATAAAGTACTAAGGGATAATTATTTTTTACTTTTTCTGAATAAATGTGATTTATTACTCGTGTTAACCGACGTAACAAAAGCCTCTAGATCAGTGTTTCTCAAACTTGTTCATACCAAGGACCACTAAACCAATAAAAAAACACTCGCGGACCACCTAACTCCACAAATATCCAAAAACACATCGTTTTTTACAAATCCTTATTTCCAAGGAACTCATTGTTACATATTTGTATTTTATCATGTAGGCGGTTGAAGCCCAGTGCAGTACTTCTACATAATTTCATCAAATACATCCTGCTATGTTATGAACTTTGAACTGAGTATTGTATGCCCATATAATCCACAGATTACTGAATATAAGGAGCTCAGGTGCTGAATATGAAACAGTCTGGCCTCTGTCTGAAAACTACAGACCGAAGTGGAACCGTCTGTAAAAAAGGTTAAGACTGACAACGACTAAAAGTTGTTTTTACAATTTAAAGGCACATTAAATATTTATATCACCATGTATATAGAAGATATATGTACTGTGTTGATCCACATTTGTATTTATATGCTACAGCAGAAGATTATGAATTCCTTGTACGAGACTAAAGAAAAAAGCAATACAATTCAAAGTAAATGTAATCATAGCACCAGTACAAAGAAACATATATAGAGAGATTTTAGAGTACACAATTTAATGGGAAAAGTTAGTATAGACTTCCATATACCAACAAAGGATACTATCTACATTTGACAAGTGTGTGCCGTTTTTTAATTCAAAGTTTAAGTGTAAGTTTAATATAAGTTGTCGAAAAAGCAAAAGACAGTGAAGTCTGGTGTATTTACAAAAGAGTATGCATTAACACCATGCCTCAAACAGGTCACATATTAGTCCCAACAGGTCACTGTCTAGATCTATTTGTTCTTTTTTATCATCATTTTTTATACTTTAAAGAATCATATCAGGAAAAATGTGAGATTGGGGAAGTGCCAAATCTTTTCTGCTTGTTGTTGATTGGTGGTAAGAGATAGTTAACCTACGTTGTGTTACTTAAAGTGATAAGCAAAGAAAACTGAGTGCTTCTGATTTTCCCTTGAGTAAAGTCAAAGCTATGGAGCTAATTTCCTGCCATAACTCCACAAACAAATATAATGCCTTATGATTCACTAACAAACACAGTGTGGTTTGCAAATTACATTACATTACATTACATTGCATTTAGCTGATGCTTTTATCCAAAGCGACTTACAATAAGTGCGTTCGTCCAACAAAATACAACTTGAAGAAAACAGAATCATATAAGTACATCAGGTTTCATAGAGCAAAAACATTTCAAGTGCTACTCAACTGGCTTTAGAAAAGCCAGTCCTTTATTAGTATAAAAGTGCTTCGTTAATAGTTCTATCGCTCGAAGTGGAGTCGAAAGAGATGAGTTTTCAGTTTGCGCCGGAAGATGTGCAAGCTATCTGCCGTCCTGATGTCAATGGGGAGCTCATTCCACCATCTTGGAGCCAGGACAGCAAACCCACGTGTTTTTGCTGATGGGAACTTGGGTCCCCCTAGCAGCGAGGGTGCAGCGAGTCGTTTGGCTGATGCAGATACAAAGCATGATCTACAAACTAATGCATTTAGTTTTGCAGATAAAAAACGTATCTATCAAACAAACACATTAAATGTTTCGAATAAATCCTGTTTCAGAGACAAATTCAGCAAGTACACAAAAATATTTTTCTACGAGTAGGCCTACTGTGTTTGTAAGTGTATCATAAGGCATTTGTAAAACGTGTGGAGTTTGTTTGTGGAGTTATGGCAGGAAATTAGCTCCATACAAATCAGCCATGACTCGCAGTTGTTAATGATATGATGACTGGATTGACCTTGTGATAAATTGTGAAGCTGAGAAAGATTCATTATTCCTGTGAAAAAGGGAAAAATTGAGGGACTGCATTGTGTGTTTTTGGCCTGTGGGTAACACCTCAGTGGAATATAAAACCTCCTCAGTGCAGGACCCCTGTTCACTCTGATGTCCTTTAGTATTCACACCACGCACTTCTCCACCACTGTCAAGATGGCCAACTTACGATACGTGACTTCCTGTGCAAAGCAATTTTCAAAATAAAACCCTTTTGAGGGAGCGTGCAAGTTAAACAGCATAATAGATAAAGGAAATGCTACGAGATGCCATTTGAAACATTGATTTTTGTTATTTAGGAATAGATGTATCCATGCACGGAAATCTATAGGCTATAATTCATTTCTAGCATTGTCCTAGTTTGCCATCTCTGTCTTTTTTGTAAATGTAATGTGACCTCAGTTTTCAAGCAAGTTATAATTGTGTGCTTTCTCATCTATCAATTCTTTAAAATAAGGTTATCCTTACTCCTTGTGAAGGACCAGGGTACACACAAACTGGGAGAGCAGGTTGACAGAAAAAGGGATTTTATTTACCACAAACATATACAGTTCTTTGAGGATAGGTAATACAATCAACACAATATGAAAAAACATCATTATACAACATAAACTCTCTGAATCCTAAGTACAACTGAACTTACTAATAACTTCAATAATGTTGAGGGTGCCGGTCCTCTTTCTGAGACACACTGACTTCCTTCCTTCCCAAACTGCAGGTCTTTATAACCAGCTGGCCAGTCCATAGTTGATTGCAGGGGGACAAAGACATTGTTCTCTAAGTCGCTTTGATGGAGAAGCACCCCGAACACCCCTTGGGTTTTAAGTGAATGGCACAATCCAACCAGGAAGAAACATCCATAGGCAGGGGTGATTCAGCAGCGGATTCTACATCCGACAAGATTGTGTGTACTCTTTTAAGAGGTGTTGTTGGTTGTGAGGCCTGCAGTTACAGTCTTCATACTCATGCATTCAAACATCAGTGGTGTAAAGTAAGTAAGAACTGAACTTAAGAACACTTTACAGGTACTTGTACTTAACTTGAGTAATCAAATGTGTTGACACTACTAGGTGTACTTTTACTCCACTAAATGTATGTAATACCTTTAGTTACTTTGCAGATCTGGATTAATGATTGTAAATATAACCAAGTGTTAAATCAGACTTTAGTTCCACCTGGAGTAAATTCACAAGCTACCCAGCAGTATACAAAGTCATTCAAACTAGCTGCACCTTTACCAGCTTCAATAAACTCTTTAATGTTCAATAATTATAAAACATGTCATATATATTATTCTGAAATGGGCCAATCTGCATAATGAGTACTTTCAATTTTGGGAGTTTAAGTATATGTTGATGCTGATACTTTGGTATTTTTACTTGAGAAGCATGTTGAATGCAGTACTTCAACAGAGTATTCCCACACAGTAGTACTTCTACTTTTACTTAAGTACACACTCTGAGTACTTCTCCCACTTCTTGAAAACATTATCTTAATCATGCACCGTGCAGTAAATAATGGAAATGCGACATTCAAGTAAAGTACCTCCATTACCTACCATATTCTGTTTCTATTATATTTAATTGTATTTACTTGTACTATTTTATTATTGTGTTGCACTGTTGGAGGAGCCTCAGCCTGTGACTTAAGATTTTAATTGTCATAACTACACTGTAGCTATGCACACATGACAATAAAAGCCTTAAACTTGAAACATGAATTGTCTTTTGTTTTGAAGGATGTGTTTCCGGTGTGTGTTTCTCCGTCCATCTTGACGCCTCTTCGGTTACTCCGGTTCCTCGGGCTGTCATTCCATCAGAGGCTCTTCATCACCTGTCCCACCCTCGTCGTGGGAATAATACGCTTTATTAAACATCAAAACAGAGACAAAAATACAAAAATGGCGAGCAGCTTCTCCAGGATCCTGACCACCCGCCAGAAGATCGGTCTCCTGTCCGCGGTGGGGGGCTCCGCGACGGCTGGGTTTCTGCTGCACCGGGAGCATGTCGGGGCTGGAACTCCGGTCCGCAGGAGTTACCCCGCAAGGTAACGTTTTTATTAACATTTTATGTCCTTTTGATCATTAATTAAGAAGTCCTGATTATTATGCATGTTGTGTAATTTACCTTAATTAAAGAAAATGGTGAAAAAGGCTGGGAGGAC